AGCCCCACCGGGAGGGACAGGGTATTACAACCTTCCAGAATATACAGTTTTAATCATTTGAGCTATTCACTTATCTTATTTCAGGAACTTGTGGAGCATCCATTGGTTTCTGCAAAGGATCTATTCATGGCACCGGCGACAGAAGGTCAGTTGATGAGCTAAAACTCGAATAGCGACAACAGGTTTTTAATAGGCTTAAACTTTAGCCGTAAAACGGACAAAAAATTTAGGTGTTAGGCGTGAAAATTGACGAATTGTAACTGTGAGTAATTAAAAAAAAAATGAAATGTAAAAATTTCCTATCTTATGTGTCATTTTGGTTACACCGTTTGCCGTAAAATTGCCAAAATTTCAACTCTTAGCCACACTGTCATAACCAAGTGACACCCTCTGATAGTTGTATTCGTAATACAACTACACCTCTCTTCTCCTTTCTCTCTAACTGTGCTAAGGGCATGATAAATGTTTGACGTGTATTCGTAGAAACACTTATCCTACGAAAGGCAACGATTGATAGTTTCTTAAAGTGAACATTTTGTTTTAATTGTGAGCCAGGCCTTGTGACTTGACACAGTGCCAGTAGGTAGGAATTCCTGGGTGGAAGGGGAGGAAGAGGAGGGAGGGGAGGGAGGGAGGGAGAATAAGGGGTTAACCCTAAGCAATATGTGATTAAACGGCACCATGTTAGGTGAGGGAGTTCACAGTGCCCTCCTGGTCGCCTCATACCTTTTTTCGCTTCACACCATAGACTGGAATAAGCAGCAACAGTAACGTTGGTTAAGTTTTCAATCCTTTTTGCCGTGCTTATTTATCTCGCAGCGACGTGATAATGTCCGCGCTTGATTACGGATAGTTAAGTCCGAATTCGATGGAGTAATATTCCGCGTGGGTGCGTGGCAATGCCCTTACTCGCTTAGTGCAATAGAAGCCGGGGAAATGTGCTTGTTTTTCGGTTTTAACTTTCAGCCATGATGGGTGAACCCTTTATTGACTTATGGAGAAGGAATGCTGCCACTAACCCTGAAGAGTATCGTTCAAGCGAGTCTGATGTCTCGGAGTGGGACAGCCTGCTGCCTTCCGTTGCTGAAAGCTTTCAGGTAGGTGCCTGAACTGATAAAGGTGATAACGAGCGTCAAAAATTATTAATTGTTTTATATCAAAAACTAAAGCGCATCCCTTACTCGTTTGGTGTTTGATAAAAAGATCCAATGCAATTTTTAACAATTTTTATCACTTTGTGGAGTTGAAGGGCTTTTTAGGAAATAGCAGAGTTTGTTATGAACGCAAAAATCTTCAGTCCTTCTTTCTTTTTTTCCTGTTTTGTTTTGTTTTGTTTTTTTTTCGTTTTGTCCTCCTTCACTATGCGTTTTAATTTCAAGCGATTCAGTTATTTAAGAATATTATCCCTCCAACGAATTGTAAGGCTTTATTGGACAAATACAGAGTTCTTCATGAAGCTACAGGTTTTGTTTGTGTATTTGTGTTCCACTTCACGTTGCACTCAAAGTGTATTGATTTTTCTGCGTTAGGTTCCAAGAGACATGGAAACCCCAGCTGAAAAAGAGATCCTCAGAGATGATCCCAATGCTGAACAATCTGGATTGCTTGAGCGCTCTGAAGCTAGCACCATTGGGTTTACCCCAGATACAGGTAAAATATCACAAAACAAACTTTGTCAGAGAATTCGTATGGTTATCTTCCTTTCCTTTGCATAAAGTGACATGTCGATTACGCGCTTTCTGACGCGTTCAAATAGACGGAAAGTTTAACTTTTAATTTTTTTTTAAATGCTTTAGATGGCAAAGTAAAAGTCGGGGAATTTCCAATTAGTGCCGATCAAGACATGGAGCCACCAGAAATGGAACCAACTGCACCACTGCGAAGGTACAATCCAGTAGGCTTCATCTTTAAATGACGGAAAATGTTACTTTTCAGCAAGAAAATTACCTACTACTATTGCCATTTTTATTTACCTTCTGTATTTTCAGACCGTCTTCTTTACTTCGCTCTTCCATGACTGGACTGTTGTCCCCTATTCACGAACCGTCCGATTTCGATGAATACATGGAAGATATCGGTAAGAACAAGAATATGCTTTGTTCAATTATTTTCATTATTTAGAAAATAATTTCATCGTAGTGCTTTCAATTGATATTAACGAGCAGGAGACCTTCCAACTCTTATGGAGCAATCTGAAGTCACGCAGTCCCTCGAGGAGCAGACGAGTGATACTTGGAGGTATGTTGAATATATTGAAAGTATGGAGCAGCAATGCTTATCCAACAATTTTGGTCAGCCGCGCGCCAGTGTCCCACGAAAAAGTGTATAAGGTAACTTTTAAGGAAAAACTGTTGTTATGCAAAATTTACGAAAACACATTGAAATGTTTTTTTCTTAATCTGCAAGAGTCGAGAAAACTGCTTTTCCACCAGATTGATTATATGCTTCGCTTCTCCCTTTCCGCGTGAAGGTAAAAGCCATTGAGAATGGTACCATCCGAAATGATCTCGTGATATGCCGACGGCTGCCCGATTGTTAGTCGTCGGGTCTGTCGGTAGTGACGGTGAAATGTTAACAGACTTGATTCGTCACACCTTTTTAGTTTTACCATTTTCCTACATTCGAAGGGGGAAAGAATAGAGTCAAAACTCAACAAAATCGACCAGTTTGTTGCCTGTTATTCGAAAAAATTGTTCACTGTTGCAGATGTATTTAGTCTTTTTCTAGTACGTTGTATGATCATTTTTTTTTTCTCTTCTTGTAGGATGGTAAACGGAGCCATGCGACTCAGCGACGGGCAAGTTGTGTTCAGGAATTTATGTCCTCCACAATTAACAGAGCGAAAAAGTGCAGCTAAAGTTTTCTACCATCTACTCGGTTAGTAAATAATCATCGGAATCTAAGCTTACAGCTTTATTTTCTTAAGAGGTCTCCCTAGAGTTCAATCGTTAGTTGACGGTCAATTGGTGTAAACGCATCACGTGACCGAATATGTTTAAGTTCAAAGTGGGTAGGTCTGGTGATATTCTTCATCAGATATCCTAACATTTACACTTGTGTCTGATGCGATAAAATTCTCTTTGTGAATTGGTAAACGTGTTATTCCACGCTTTGCGAAAAATATATAAAAGCTGTTCTAATACATTAGTCTTCATTATCGTAAAGTGTTTTTCATTGGATGGTGTCTGTTTCTCGAAACTCCTAGTTTTCCTCTTCATTCTTGAAAAGTTGTTCGCTTCTCAGAACAATTTGTGTCCCAAGACGAATATCTGAGCATACATCACACCAAATGGAGGCTATTTTTGAACTGTTGCAACGGCGCTTGGCTGCAAGCATATTGGACATTAGCCTGGGAAGCACTGTTACTTCATAACTAGCAAGCTGACTGATTCGTTACTTTCCTTTGTTAACTTTGTTTCCGTCACTTTACAGCATTACACAAGAATGGAATATTTGAACTAAAACAGAGGGATCCATACCAGATGACGAATATCTACATTCAAAAGGGTACAAATTATTGAACGATCCAAGCTAGGCTGGCATTTGTTTTTTACAACCAGATGGAGAATATTTTAATTTCGTTGTTTAATTTCATAACTTTTAGTTTTAATATATTTTTAAACTTTGATATAACAACACAAGACTAACTTCATCAGCTTTAAACTTTCACAACGGTAAATCAAAGTTGTGTGGCTTCATTACTTCTCTGTTTTATCGTTTAAAGAGTCCAATTCCTCAAAAGTTGGTTTCGATATCATCCTCTCGATCACGTTTCCCTTGGTTTTAGTTTTACGCACCTCTCTCAACCAATCAAATGCAAGATTAAAAGCACTTGGTCACCTGCGTTTTCCCGCGCTGTAGGTAACCTTGGTTTGAGTTTTACGACGCTCATTCGAAAAGCGCTCTAACGTCCCAATCGCTTGAGAATTACTGGGACAATTGGGAAGATCTAAGAGATTATATTGTAGCTTGGTGTCAGATCACAAACCCTTTTTTTGTCTCAGAAAACAAACCATGTCGAATATTAACACCGCCAAATGTCCATTTGCTCTTGAAAATCAGTAAGGAAAACATTTGCCAACTCCTTAATGCAACTGAAAAACGAGAAAGATTGGACTTTGTCTTTTGACTGAAATTTCTGGTAAGAGGTGTAGATAATTTCTAATAAAATTGCCGTAATGGAATATCTGTAAAAAATGTAATCAGTTCTCCGGCTGGTAGTTAATGGAAGTTTGTGTGTCCAAAAACTTGATTAACGAAAACAAGACGATAAACCTTTTGAAGCTTGGTAATCTCTGAAAAAGTCTGGTGGGGCGAAACACGTCGTCCGAACTTGCCAGAGCCAATGTTTAGCTAAGGGATCAAAAAATTTCTTCTTTGGGCAGTTTTGGCCTAATGAAGTTGGTGCATTCATAAACAAGGCGAAAAGACAAACAAACAAACAAACATTGGGAAACAGTTCGCCACTGCTATATGTAATCTTGGACATTTTATTTGCAAGGTAACCTCACAGTATCAATTCAACCTTATATTAACAGCTGTTTTTACAAACGTTTGTCTAAAGTGAGTTTAAAGTAAAGATTAAAACTTCACATTTAGATATCCGTTATGAAAAAGAGATGACGAACCATCCTCTTGTAGATTGGGAGCGTATTATCAAGGTGACAGAACTTTATACAATTGGTGTGGTCTTTCATTGTCCTGATTCGAACATCAGTGTTGTAAGCTAAGAATCATTTATCCATTTCGATCATGATTCTACAGGTGAGATTTTTACAGAGACTTAGACAATTCAACAGTCACAAATACGAATTGCTATTTATCAAAGCTGACGATTAGTCAGCTTGAGTAAGCTTTACAGATACGTAAATTATTTGCCATAATGCTTGTGTTTCATTGAATTAAGAAGGCTTACACCAATTAAATAGCGAACAATTGAACATTTTTAAAAATATTTTTGGAATTTTTAGAGGCTTATTTTATATATTATCGCGCAATATTTTAAAAAGTGGAAGCGTTATATTTAAAACTTTGAGCAAATTTCTCTTAATAAATATACATTTTGTGTTTTCGCACAGTCTTATCTACTCTTTGTGGGTGAATGTTCCTTTCTCAGGCAAGAGATTTAATGACAATCTTTTGTCTTATGCAATGATAGCCCAAGATATTTGGATGCTATTATTCGCAGTCAAGGATCTGTAGTAAAGTTTCCACTGAACAAGCTTGTGGTTTCTCCTGCTGTTTCTATGGCATGGAGCAAACTGAGATCATGAACTGTATGATCACCCAAATAACAGAGACGTTTAATACAGGTGCTTGCCAACTGTTGTTCATAGTGTAAGATCGAGCGTTGGCTCGGGTGGGCTGTGCTGTCTTAATGGAGGGTGAAGTTGATCCGTCGACAGCTAAACAAAGGGAAATGTTAAAGCTCGATGAGTGCCGGAAAATTTGTGCGATGGAGCAAAAAACAGATGTTTCTTCTAGGCTAACCTCAACTATCTGCGCGTTTGTGAATTACATTAGAGGGGAAAAGGGACAGCTGCATTTCATTTAGACTCAAAAAATTCTAATCACTTCCTTTAAAGTGGCCTAATAGGTCACCCTGACAATTTAACACACCGTTAACGCAATGAAGGGGCTGCTCACCAGGTAACGTAAACAAAATCTAAGGGAGCAGTTTAGAAGGAGGGGGGTCTCGGGGTGAAAAAAAATGATAAATCGTAATCAGAAAACAACCTGGTATGCTCCAAATACCAGGCTGACATTCGTGTGACGCCCCTCTGCCCTTATCTTGAAATTAAGAGTCTATGAACTAACCTGGTCGGGGTAAGGCGACATCTCTCACCCGAATGATGTAAACTCGAGGTGCCCGTTGGATTCCGATGGGATGTAACTCACATTGAAATCTTAATCCGCGGTCATTGGGCGTGACTTTTGTCAGGATGACTGACAGTCCGTCTGTCTTTAACCTTGTTAAATATTCTGGGCAAGATCTTGTGCAATTGATCAATGTGCACAAAACCCTGGATGGACTGCAGTGCGCAATTTTTTCCTTTCCACCATCCTGAAGAATCCTGTACCATGATATGTCTTCCATGTCATTCTTTGAAAATTTTCCATGAATCGGACGGCTCAGGTCGATGCTTTTACCAACAGTCGTGGACAAGCCTTGAGAGGGAAAAGGCAGACAGATTAGACTATAGCACTGTAAATCTTGTCTGTAAACCCTTTAACTCCCAGTGATTAACATCTAACTTCTCCCTGCCACATCCATACATTATCCAGGCAAACTAATTTAAAAGAAAATATGTAGCAGCTGGAGGGGAGAATTGACTGTCAGATCTTGGGAGTTCAAGAGATAATGTAGGAACTTAAGGTAGCTTCCCGTAAGCACTGTGGTGAAAAAATTTGAATAGAGATTTCGAAGTAAATCAATCTCTGCAGTTAAGCCATGTTTTAAACTATTGTAGTTAATTTATTCACAAAAAAACAAAGCTTTTCGAAGACGTTATGTCTGTGTGGCAGGCGGTTCTGGTGAGCCTGCGACTTCCCCCACTCTTTTTCGGTAAGTCAACAGTGCACAATAACGTGTCCTTCAATTTAGATGTGCGGAAAAGCGCACATTCGTAGAATCTACATGGCATGAGTTTTAAACAATATACACTCCTTTTGCCGGTACACGTGCCTGCTGATTCACAAATGAAGAGCAGAGGTACAAGCCACTTTCCGTAAGGTGCGCAAACCACCCCACCCCCCTCCCCCCAACTCGCTAAAGCAACTGCAAGCCTTGAGAAAGGGAAAACAGAGCCAATTCACATGTTAAGCTTTATTCACTCACAATTTGCTGAAGAACTGACTGTGATCGTGTAATCACACGGAGGCTTGTTTCCTTTATGTATCACGCGGCATGTGTACGTGAGTTTATCGTTGAACTTCTTCTGTTTGATGTAAAGCACACCCCGCACGGCAGCTGTTGTCTCAATTCTCTGCTGATATCTCCCAGTGATGTTATACTTGTGGCATTTAAAATACTCGTTACAATACACGAGCTTTTGTTTGTCCTGGCCTTGCTTTTCTGGATCGTCAACAGTCCAGATCAGCTCTTTGTAAGACTTTTCCTGGATAGGATCAGCAAGTTGAGGGTGGCTAAGCCGGATCTTGTCGTTCGTGCATTCTGTTCGAATGTCGGTACCCACAGCACCTGGAGAGAAAAAACATGAAAGGCAATGTTAATTATGAGTGACAGTTATAGTAGTTCATACGACTTAAACTTAAGCCCGACTTCGGTTGAACGAAATTAAACATTTTAGAGATAATAAGTTCCATTTTGTCATGCTCTCCCCGCAAAGAGAGGCTGGTTATTTACCAAAGCTTCCAGACAGGGGTAGGGTCATCAAACACAAGAGGCTCTAAAATTTCCCCTGGAGCGCTTTCGTATAGTTCACTGAATAATTAATCCATGGTTTGTAGACTAAACGTGTGTCTTTGGATTGTAGCTGAGAATATCAAATACTCTTCAATTTTTTACTTCTAATATTTAGATATCAAAAGCATTTGAGACAAGCATCCATTTGGAAGAGAGAGACCCAAAATGGAAGCTTTCATGTTCCTGTTATGCTGATCAAATGTCACTACCCCTCTGGAAAAAGTTGATGTTATCAGTGCCTAATCATCAAAAGGGTTTTTTCCCTTCAGTTTCAATACTAAACAAAACATGAAAAATGATGATAAGTGGATATCACTGATTGAGTGGTATCAAATACGTATTTAAAAAAATAAGGCAATACACAGGTTTTGTTTAGCGCCATCAGTTAATTTCACATGTTCATTTCTTACCCGGGATATCGTTCTCTGGCAAGATATACGGTTTGCATGACTCTACGCTCGAACTCCCATAGTATGAGAAAGTTTCACGTTGGAAATAAAATCATTACACTATTGCACAGGATTTTACGTGTTTGGTACAATTCTATTGAGGAAAATCTGGTGGTTTGGAATATCACAAAGTGATAAAAAAATGAATACAGTTACGTATCTTTAGTAAGACAAATACGAAAAATGTTTAAACTCTTTGGAGACCGTAAACATCTGCAATTGCTATAATCTGGCAATATAACAGTGTAAACGACCCTTTCCTAACTCTGAAACATTTTGTACTTGTGAATTGCTGATTTAATCGTAATAAATTCATGACGGCCAGTGTGTCTGCGGTCAAGATCATATTAAAAATGTAACAAATCACTAATTCACTTACCCCCAAACAAAGGAAATGAAGCAAACATGGTACATACTCCAAAAAGATATAAACACTTGCAAACAAGATTGAAAGATTGTAACCTAAGAGCGGTAACAGCCATGGCCAAAGGTGTGTTCAATAATCTTGATCGCTTCGCAATGGTTTTGTTCACGTTAGTATGGAGGTGAGAGCATATTTATAGACATCATTACGTCATCTAGACTCTTTAATTATGATGAAGTAATATCTGTAAACAAACGGGGAATCACCCATGAGAGATTCCCTGTTTGTTTTGGGGCTTAAGCTTATCAAACAGGCTTTTTAAACGATCGACAATTACTATCGGTGGTAATCAACTGATTTTCATCGCGGCTTTTAACTAGTGACTGTTAATCTTTGCATAGCTCGTCGTCCAGTTGGCACTATAAACATCCAATGGACTAATGAGATAGAAAATTATGTCATTCTCTGACTGATTTAATTCTTTTCGCCTGACTAGTTTTGATTCACGGGCGCTTTAAAATGTTTTGAATTTTTGAATTTTCGTTTCCCGCAGAATTCAATTAAACAGAGTCACAGCCGGCAAAGCAAGCTAGTTACGTATGAAATCATCAACTGGCAAAGTACGAACGCGACTAAATTTATACCTTCCCAACTTGTTTGAGGTAAACATGGCTCACTCTTATCGTGAAATTTGCGTTCATAATTTTTCACTACATTTTAAAACGATTACCGTTCGTTAGTGCATGGTGATGTTTTTTAGAAGTGCGTTGCCCAAATCTTCTCTTCAGAAGCCATCCCTTCTGTGTGCAGATACGACACTGCGCCAGCTGTGTTCCAAAATAACGAAAATACGGAACCTACCATGAGAAAAGACCAAAAGTACTTGGAGTATGAATGCTTTCTGTGATAGCGGATGGCGGAATCGGTGCATCTCTCCTTTCAACATTAAAAATAAACCCATCGTAAGCTTCAAACGGCGTGAATTATATACAAGATATATTTATCAACAAAACTTTGGATTAAGGACCGGAGGAGGCTGTTTTCTAATGTAAGTCTCCCTTCATTTTCGATTGCAGAATCTGGAACTATTCCTGTTTTTCTTTAGTGTCAGCTGACCTCAGCAGATTTCGGCCAAACTGAAAATCCATAGCTGGAATACATCTGGACTCGTTTAGGGAAAGGGGCCATGGATTCTGCCAGTCTTTGTCCGCTGAATGGAGCCTTTACTTTTTCGTAAATTGGGATTGCAGATTTTGTTTCATGCCGTAAATCCCATCATCTAGAGCCGGGCTGGCGCGCACTATAAAGCGGAACAATCATTGTTCACATTGTTTGTGACCGTGTGTTTCTTAGAGAAGACTGGAACTAAGTTAAATGCCTGTCGAAAAATGCCTCCGAGCGGTACTTGGGTTAGTCCAAAGGCGCCAAAACTCAAATGTTCTGAAAGTAAAACGTTTTCCCGTCATTTTGATTCCAAACATGCAATACTTTCTTCGATGTTCGCTTAAAAAGAGACAGAGGAGGAAATAGTAAAAGGGAAGGCAAGGTTCGTTTGTCGTTCTATAGTATTTTTGGCCCGGATAGTCTTAAATATTTCTTCTTATCCGAGAAATTTTGTTACGAAGAGAAACTTCAAAGCCTTGACTAGAACTCTATGATTTTTGTTTTCCTAATTTTGCATTCTTTTCTTAGTTTTTAATGAGTAAATATTTAGGACGCCGCCGAAAAAGAACGCGCGCTTTAACGTGGCTCAATACATGAAAGATCGGAAGGTTGCAAGAGAGAAAGCTGTTAATGAAAATCGCAAGCCATTGGCAGAGAACAAAGATGAGTAGCACAATCACCATACCCACTTCTGTAACATGTATGGAAAATGTGAAAATTGCTAGTTTGGGACAAAATCACTTCTTTAGGTTTGTTTTAAACTTACATCTACTATTACAACTGATTTATTTCAAACTATTTTATTTTTGTCACATTTGATTCAAATTTGTATTTACCCATAATCCCTTGTGGGTGTGGTCTTTTTCACAAATAATCAATTTCGAGTTCACTGACACAGTAAAAAGTAGAAATAATAACATTTTGTATTACATGGAGGCTAGTATCTCCTCAGTGAGATCAACTGGCACTCTAAAAACTGACTTTCTGCCTCTTTTTACAACTTGAAGATCACATAAGCGTTTTTCTCTTGGAAATTCAGCTCTCTTTTTGCGATTCTTTCCATTATATTTTAGATTCCTTAGCCTATTCTTTTCCTACTTTTCCTCCTCCACTCTTTGATCCTTGCAAGCTTTTCTTCCTTTCGTTAACCATACCTCTTGTCAAACGCACCTGAAGCGATATTTACATATTGCTAAATCTCAGAAAAATTATAGAGCTTGAAGACCCCGCTACCCTTGATAACGTCGCAGAAACCCCCAAAACAAGGAAAGGTTACCAAGCTCTTTTCGACACGGAGATGAAAAGATGAAGGCGAAAATGGCAGAGCAAACAGCAGATTTCACAGCGCTTTTGGTGGCATTTGTGGAGAGACTCCGTTCTCAATATGGCGTCAACATGGTAAAAAGCGTAGCGACTTGGTCAAAAGTGAATATTTTGGCCGTTTCTGAAGATATGGACCCGAAAACTTGGAAATGACAAGAGAAACTTATGAGCATTGAAGTGCAATCGATTTCGAAACCCGACTTTGCCGTGTTTGAAGTATAGTGGCGAAGGAGAAGGTAAGTTGATGAAAAATATTATTGCGTAATCAGGTTTTAGAGAACCGTAGCGACTGTTTTACACTAATATTTCTCCGTTTATAGCCAATCCTTTAGACTGATTTTTCGCTATTTTAGAACACCAAGTATGAGCATTTGGTTAATGTGTTTTTGTTCCCACAGGATTCCAGTTCAGTCAATCTACGGACAACAACTTGGTGTACTTCCAAATTCTGAAACCCAGCGTTACACAAAGGATACTTAGGAATGATGAATCTTTTCTATGCGTTTTAATAAACTTGAAATGTCAAAGTTTTGCTCAATTGTAGTGTTTATTGTGTGTTATCATTAGGTGTAATTTGTTTGCTCAAACTAGCTTTCTTTTCACTGAAAAATGTATGTCAAAAATTTTACCACTGAGATTGTGTTACGCGTTACAACTAAAGTTGGCTCGATTTTTCATCTTTCACGGGTATTTTCTCGAAGACAGTAATGTGGTTTTCTGATTTTTTGCTTTTACAATAATCAATAAGAACAACTTTACCTGTAAGCAAAGATTTGGCTTCAATGAAAATGTAAAACAGAAGAAATCATTGAAAGTTTGCAGTCAACCCCCTATGGGCATGGTGATTGTGCTACTCATCAAAAAGGTCCAACGAGCCCAGGAAAAGGTGAGATAACATATTTAATTTGTTATTTTAACGTAAATTAGTATTAGTGCTTTGAAAATGTCTTATATTTTGAATATTAGAGAATTTTGTATCAGAGTATTTTAGGCAAGTGGTGGAAGTGTGAGTACAGGGAGGCTTGTATTTCAATTTTGACAAGGTAGGAAATTCAAAATAATAATAATAATGATTTTAATTATAAACAGGGTAATGGTTTGTGCATCCCTGCTGTACCTCCCTACACAAACATTCGTTAATTCCCCCCCCCCCCCACCAGCTTTTTATCTGTCTGAACTTTAAATGAACTTTAAAAATTAACCAATCAGTGCATAAGAAATCACATGTTTAATTAATTTTTTCAGTTGGCCACAGTAAGGGAATGATGCAAGGACATAACACATGAGTTGGAAAATATTCCTGTGAGTATACTCTTGATTCCTTATTGTGGTTGTTTTACCAGCACTGGCAAGTGTGCAGCAAAAAACTGCTGTGCACAACTTCTGACTGTAGGTTTTCATTAGTTAGTAGATGAATGAAATTTTATGCCAATTTTTGATAAAAGCATTAATAAAAAATACTCAATTTTGTGAGAAGAAAAAATATTTCTACAAGTTCAATTTTGGTGGACTGGCCACTTAACACAGAGCCAGTACCAGCATGACAGCCAGTGCCAGGCTTCTATGCCAGTGCCTGGACAAGAAACCTGAGTGTGTGCCTGTGTTCATCTGGTTAGTCAGAGGACTGTCATAAATGACAGTGTCTCTAAATTGTAAACATTAAAATATCAAATGCAAGATATAGGTTGGTATAGACTTTTTAATTCGTTCAAGAACAAAGACTCTCTCTCTCTTTTACTGTCCTTTTTTTGTTTGAGACTCTATCTACATACATACCAGTAGTAAGAGTTTTAAGAATGGCGAGTTTTTCAGTAAGTGGAATCTCAATGCCTGGCACAGGCTGCGAATGTCAAATTCCATATACTGCCAGGCTTCAGGAAGATGTGGATAGATTGCAAAAAGAAAAAATATTTTTGCAAGTTAAATTTTGGTGGACTGGCCACTTAACACAGAGCCAGTAGCAGAATGACAGCCAGTGCCAGGGCAAGAAACCTGAGTGTGTGCCTGTGTTCATCTGGTCAGTCAGAAGACTGTCTTAAATGACGGTGTCTCTAAATTGTCAAAATAAACATCAAAATATCAAATGTAAGATATGGTGAGATAAAATTGTTGTGTTCAGATCTATTTTGTTTACAATTTTGGTCTCACCCAACCACTTCTTATTTTAATAAATGTGTTACTACCCAGTGTCTAATTTAATTTAATTTAATTCTATTTTTAGACACAGGGATAGGTATCTCAGGCATGAACAAGAAGCCCTACTGCACTTGTTGATGGACGATCAACACTGGGTCCAAGAATTGCAAGAAAAAGGAGGCATGAGACCATTGAAGCTGCCGCCAGAATTCATGGAAGCACAAATGAACATTCCTCAGCCACTTTAGAGGGATTGTTCTACACTTTGCAGAAAAGATGCAAATTGGATACTCTCACAAATTATGTGACAGGGAACAAGCAGTTGACTAATAGAGTAGTTTCTAAAGAGTATAAGAAAAAAGTTTTAAAATTTGAAAAGTCAGATGACAACATTATACGAAGTATTGCAACATATTATGCAAGTGGTGTAATGGGCAAAAGAAAGTACAAAAGTGTTAGACTGGTGCTTTCGATGAAATCAAATGAAAGTAAACCAGGGAAAAGAACAAGCATTTCAATTTGTAAAGGCTGTAAGGTACCAAAGCTTTTCACTTATAGTAACCTTGTGGAAAAGTTAAAAAAGATTGATATTGGAACTGTTCATGAAATTAACCCAGACTATCTAGAGGGCTTAAAAACTGAAAACTCAGTGAATGGTGCATATAGAGACTTAAGACAATACCTTCCAATGCTTGCCAAATTTTATCTCTCTAAGAATATAAAAGAAAGCTTGAAAGGCTTTACAGAATCAACAGGCACTTTTCAAATTGCTCTTGGTGGTGGCGGATGCCCATTTGGCAAGAATGAGAGCATATGTTCTTTTTTGGTCACTTTCCTCAATTTTGGAAGAAGGGTGGCATCAAGTTATAACTTTCTAATTTTTAGTGCCAACTGTGATGAAAGCTCTCCTGTTACAAAGAAATATGTGAGGTCATTATGGCTGCAAATTGCAGAGTTAGAAAGAGCCGAGTATGAATTCGAAGGCATTAAATTTAGGTTTAAGCTGGAGGAATTGCCAAATGACATGAAGATGCTTGCCATGTTGGCAGGTGAATTGACTATTAGTGCTAAGTATTTCTCACCCAAGGGATGTGAAGGGTACATTTGGAACTGACAGGTCAAACAAGTGGAAGCCATAGAATTACTGGCAAAGAGTAAATGTTGTCAACAAGGTTGAGCATTTAAAAAAAGAGTAGCACTTGAAAAAATTTCTGAGAAGACAAAGAGATCTAAAATCAATGATTTCATCGCCAAACAAAATAGTAGACAGGAATTTTTGCCTCTATTAGGTTCTTATATTGATAAAACTCATGTGGAATCCCTTCATCTGAAGAACAATGCTTGGCAGTACTTTTTTAAGGCAGTTTTGACAAAAGCTATAAGAAAATCTAAGCTGCCAGCTGATTGTAAAAAGTTTTCTGAGGTACCACCTAATAGCCCTTTTGCATGAGTAATTACAGTTTTACAAACAGAAGTAAAGACCAGATGCCTTGCAAACAGGACAAAACAATGGTTCAATGAAACTCAAGGGTCTGGAGCTGATTTGCATTATAGATTTACTGGAACAGATTCCTGTTGTTTTTGTCATAACTTGTCATGAGATTAATCAAGTGGCTAAGCTGTGAAAGTGACTTCAGGAAAGAATGTCAAACAATTCTTGCTTTAGCTTATTTAGGTGTGAGGCTGAGAGACTGTGTTTCTCTCTTTAATAGATTTGAGATAACATTAGACCAGATTGATCAGCTTTCTATTGCTTGCTATGAGTATTTTAAAGTAAATTCATTGTTCTTGCCAAGTTCTGTAAATCCTACTGTCTGGACATTGGGTCACATTGTCCCCACTCATTGTCGTCAAATGCTTGAAAAGTATGGGCAGGGGTTGAGAATAGTAACAATGGAAGGGCGAGAAGCAAAGCATATTTTTCTGAAAAAATTAAGTGAAAATACAACATATCAAAACAGATGGGTTGAAATATTTAGACATGAATATATGATGCTGATTTGGCTGCCTCAGCAAGGTTTTCAGCAGCCAGAAGCTGCATGCAAAAATGTAGCCTACATCCCAGAGAGGGTATTCATCTTATTACTATTGTGGTCTGTTAAAAGCATGTCCTGAGGATGCTAAGTGCTGTTTCTGTGGAGACCCAATCATAAAACTTATTGAGCATAGTGTTAAGGATGGAAAGATTGCTCCACAGCTTTTGTAATTAATGCTAAATTTGTACATAGTCTGACTCAAAACCACTGTTGACTTGAGATTATATTATGATATTGTATTAGCAGTAGGTAGGACCTTTAAGATAGTGTTAGAATAAATAACACTTTGATCTCCCCTCTGTTGTGTGGTTTTGATTAAAATTTGTCCCAACAAAACAAATCAAACTGAAAGGCATCCCAACATTGTTTCCAATATTGATAAAGCATGTCTATGGTATTTTAATAGGATTCATTGGTAACTGCGCGGAATGGAGTACAATTAAGGCAAGGCAAGAAACTTCAAATCAGCCGAGTGCATAATGTTAGGACAACTTATAATTACAAACAGCCTGAAATATACTCCATTCAGTCTAGCTCTCATTACTTATATGCTTACGAAAAGGTGTAGCCAAATTCATTAGTGAATTTGTAGTGGGCTTTCACCACTACTTGTTGTGTCCTCTTGATAGATGTGATGGTGAAAGGCGTTTCAGAACTTATGGAAACTTTTGAAGTTCCTTTACTTGTTCCTTTACTCTTCTTCATTAGGAATTCTCGGACTGAATCACTGCTTAGCTCAGATAACTTGGCAAAATCTCGAATAAGTCTGTTCTCTCGGTGATAGTAGATTACACCTGTGTGTTTTTCTTCTTTGTACGAAACACCATAAGCGGAACGGGCTTTTTTTACATTCTGAAAAATTAAGGAAAAAATTTCCGAGGACATCGCCCGTTTGAACTCTACGGTCCAAGCGCTTCGGGCCTTCATTTTTTGGACTGAGGCGCCTATGGAGCATGTTTAGCCACATCTTTACTTCTCCTTCGAGGAGTGCTTAGGCTGGAATTCGTGACATCTTAGCTCGTTTCAAAGAGCTTTGGCCCACACAGTGTTTTTCAAAAATTGAAGTGAGAGCTGTTTTCACTTCATCTTCAAACAAAAAGAAATTACCGACTTCATTACGTAGTGGACGCAGAGCCTCAGTGGCGTTCAAAATGGCATTTTCAGACGCCATTTTGAAAACTGTTTGTACCTTTATTCGTATTTCTGCTGTTCAATTTCAAACAACAGCGGGCGGCAAAGTTCCGCTTCACAGCGCGCGCTAGAGCGGCGTGCTCGAGCTAGCTAGCTCGAAGATGCCAGGTCCTAAAGATCGCAATGGCTATAATGTTAACTCTAAAAGCGACATTGGGAGTTTTTCAAATAAAACTTTGATTGCAGCCTCTCTGCTTCTCTTTCAGTTTCATGAGTCATAATAAACATGCTTTGTTGTTTGAATAAACTGATATTGAGCGTGAATAAATGTTTTAAGATAGCGCTTGGATTGCAGCTCAGGCTTTCGGTATCTTTTAGTTGCACGAATCACAATAAACGTGCTTTGAGGTTTGAATAAACTATACGTCACAGCTTGATAACAACTCTATTAGTAATAGCATACATGAAAAAAATTACAATTACAAAAGGAGTGCATTTATCATGTAAGACGAGTGCAAATTACAGATTACGCGTGCGCTTTGCTAATATTTCGTCCGTCTTGACTTTTTGTGATGCGTTTTTCATGTAAATTATCAGCAAGTAACAACATGGTTTCTCGTGCAATGCAGTGTAAACAAGCCCTTGTAAGGTTTTCAAAGACTACAAATTGCACTCTTGCTCATTCACACCAAATTGCACGAGAAATCATGTTGTGAATATATGAAAGTCATATATTTGAACTGCGGATAAAGACGTAACTATAAAAGCGAACATCGCAGTAATGAACACTATTTGAACAGTAGTGAAAATAAGGCCTGAAGAAAAATTTAGTCCTGTACGGGGTTTGAACCCATGACCTCTGCGATACCAGTGCAGCGCTTTACCAAATAAACCCGTGAGGTGGGGAATAAACGAATGTCAATATATGAAAGTCATATATTTGAACTGCGGATAAAGACGTTAACATCACGAAAAAAAAAAGCGAAGATGATATGATACTCGTTTGTGATCCATCTATCCTTTCTATACTGTTAGTCGTTAAAGCATTCATTTCTGAACAATAATTATCTTGAGAGAATTGATGTGAATCACTTTGTTTTTAATTCTAGTTTGTCGTTTGAGAGCGTGTCTTGCAAAAAAGCTTCGCGGAGTTTAACAAAACTAAAAGAAGTAAATTGATTTGCAATGCAAATGCAAACTGGTTATTCCAGCGAGCTTTAGACATTGAAAAAATTGATAATGGTGATAACAATGTTTTTATTGAAGAATGAGACACAACATACGTGTGACTTTACATCTTTATTAATAATCATGAGACTAAAAACTAAGAGCCAACTGCGTAGTTAAATCCATTTAAGACCAACGAGATAAAAATAGGTTGAGAAATAAAACTGAAAAGACGTATATTTAAAAAACCCCGTTTAAACCGTTCGGTTTTAACTCTGAGGAGTATGAGGTCATGGCCCCTATCTCTGAGAGCCGCCAGTGTCCTCGATTATTCTGTTAAACGTAACTCTGTCCCTATTCATCATTACATCAGACATAGACTGATTGATCTTATTTAAATAGCCGAGACGATAGGCTGGTCTGCCTTGAAAGGCGGAAAACACTTCAATTCATAAAGAAATGTTTATATTTTTATTATTAAAAACCTGCAGGCCACGCAAAAGTTGACGGTATGTTCTAGTCAAAAGAAACTGATAAAGACTGCCTACGGGGCCTCTTTTTGTCCCTTCATTACTCGAGACCTCAGTCGATTTCGTCTTAATGCTCAAAAAGAAGAATATAGCGCTCTTCTGGCAAGAATTATTTCGGACTGAATATCCAAAATTCTTCTTTATATGGCTGGCGACAGGCAAGTAATTGTTCGTGAATAATTGTTCGTGAGCGAAGAAGCTGCATAAGATTTGTATTCGTAGAATTGTGACACGAAACAAAATGAAATACTTGTTGGACAGCAGTTCCATCATATAATAACATCTTGGTGATCAAAAGAACTCCACTTCCCAGGTGGAAAGGCTCGTTTGTGGACCCTTCAATCTGTAGCGAGTATTCCTTAACCACACCTGGTGCCTTGATAAGACGGAACCTTTGATCAGATCTATCCAACAGTTTCAAGTCGAAAATGTTGCAGTATATTCACCTTCCATACATATACTATCCAGGGAAAGTAAAAATTTCCGACATTAAGCACAGAAATAAAAGTGTTTTTGTCAATTTTAAGGTTACTGGCGTGACGTTAGGCGGGATGGTGGGTCGGTGTTTTGTCCTGTTGCTTTCATCTTCTTGTAAAGACCCTCCTGTGATTACTTCTGGGGTTCTGGTTGGTGTACCTGTAGCAAAAAAGTGTTTAAACAGAAAATATCAAGCTCCTCATTTACAATGTGTGGTGATCTATCACAATGGTCGTATATTCTCTTGCTATTTTATATTTTAGTTTCTTGCTGTTATTAGTGTTCATGGAACAATTTAATCATCTCCAAGCTTTCATTAATACAACACTCGCAAAGGAAAAGAAGGAGATAGTTGGAACATGTCACCACCTGTAGGCCGACAACATTTATTGTGAGCAAGGCCCCTAATGGCATTGAGCATGCGCGAGCATACATACCAACCTTACATGGCGCCTCTCCCACCCTCCCACCCCTACAACTCACCCTTGAAATCGCGTAAGTCTCACGCACTAACCTTCTCGGGGTACAGCGACCTCTTTGATCTTAATGGTATAAGCTTGACGTGTCCCGTGGATTCCTGGATGTAACTCGCACTGGAATTTCAAACCACGGTCATTAGGCGTAACATTTGTCAAGATGACCGATAATCCATTCGTCTTCAGCCTTCTTAGATACTCCGGGCACGATCTTGTGCAATTGATGAGCAAGCACGAAACCCTGGATGGACTGCAGTGCGCAATTTTTTCCTTTCCACCACCCTGAAGGATCCTGTACCATGTTATGTCTTCCACGTCTTTTTCTGAACATTTTTCATGAATCGCACGGCTCAGGTCGATTCTTTTCCCAACAGTCGTGGACAAGCCTTGAGAGGAAAAACCAAAGAGAGATTGGCTTATAATACTATAAATTCTTAACGTGAACCTGAAGGTAACTTCCCGTCTACATTTGGCGGAGAAATTTTGAAAGAAAAGCAAATCAACTTTGCAGTTAGGGCAATCCTCCAAACTAACTTGGATAAATGATTCACCCCAAAGGAAACTTATCAAAGACGCGGTGTGGCAGGGGTGTCCTAGCGAGCTCACGATTTCCCCATACCCTTTGTGAGTTATTTTTTCGGTTAAGCCAAGAGTACACAATAACTTACGAATCTTACAAGAAAATCCCTTTATTATCTCTTGAGTCTTATGATTACGGTTCAAGAAAACGCCCAATTTCCTACATGGCATAACTATGTTACAGTACTCCCTTTGCCAGAACACAAGCCCGCCCATTCAGATACAAGCCATTTCCCGTTAAGTGCCCAGCGACGGAGGAATTCGTAACTGTGACCCCCACACCACCCTCCACCCATTGAACATCTCAGCTGCGCCCTAAGCTAAGGCTGATTTTCTTAACGCTTCTCTTACACGAAATGGGGCTTTTTCCCGCGGCAGTGGCCTCGTGAGAGCAATATGAAAAAAAAAGTGCTTAAAAACCGAGTTAAATTGCCTACTTTCAGATTATGCATGCATGGCTCATGTCTAACTATGTTTTTTAAGATTTTAAAAATGGATGGTTCACATGATTCGTTGATTTACTCACAATTTGCTGAAGATCTGACTGTGATCGTGTAATCACACGGAGGCTTGTTTCCTTTCTGTATCACGCGGCATGTGTACGTGAGTTTATCGTTGAACTTCTTCTGTTTGATGTAAAGCACTCCCCGCACGGCAGCGTTTGTCTCAATTCTGTTCTTATATCTCCCAGTGATGTTATACTTGTGGCATTTAGGATATTCGTTACAATAAACGAGCTTTTGTTTGTCCTGCCCTTGCTCTTCTGGATCGTCAACAGTCCAGATCAGCTCTTTGTAAGAGTTTTCCTGGATAAGACTAGCAAGTTGAGGGTTGCTAAGCCGGATCTCGTCGTTTATGCATTCTGTTCGAATTTCGGTACCCACGGCACCTAAAAAAAGGAACAAAAAAAGCAACGTTTATCTTGAGTGGCGGGTGTAGTTCCACGATTAAGGCCCCATCATTTTTTTTAAAATTTCATCTGGGGAGGGGGAGGGAGGAGGTCGGAGAATTTGGCTGTATCACAATTAAATTTACCTGATCGCTTCAAGGTTCTGTAGTAATCTAATGATTCCCAGTCATTGACAGTCAATTTTCTATGGCCTCCCATTTATCCTCTCGGTTAGCGACGACTGATTCTCGATCAGTTCCCCCTGAAAACCACGTGATCCCCCCATAATCCTCCGACCCCCCCTCCCCTCCCCTCCAGATGCTAAATTATGTCTTGGTCCCCCAAACAAATTTTAACTCGACTTCGTTTGATAGAAAATAATTAACACAAATCATTAGCATTTTATTATGCCTACACTCAAAAGGAGAAGACTTATTGATCATCAGAGTTTCGAGAGACCGGAGGCATAGGGAAGACAAAGGCTTTTTAGAGAGGGAAGGCCTCATTAAAGAAAGTTCATGAAGGCAAAAATTCTAGTTATTATTTTCCTTTAGCACAGTCACCCAAAGGTTATGAATGACGTAGCAATATACATCTTTATGGTTAAATTCCCACGATATTGAAAACGAAAATGAATGCGGCCTTTAAGAAATGTCGATATTTTGTAATGTGACGTTATCGAGCCAAAAGAAACTCAAACTTGACCGATTTTGATCGGGGGAGGTGGAAGCAAGAGAAGGGGGAAGGATGTTAGACTAAGGAGCTTATTACAAATATCACAGACTTGAGGATCTGGAAGTTACAGATCAAGTTTTAATAAGAGAAGCTAGGGGAGCTTATTGGTGCGTTATAAGCTTTTGATTTCGCATCCCCATGGTTTATGGAAAAATAGCTATGAACGTACGTAACTTTTTAAATTTAAATTCCGATCTCTAGATTACTAAAAGTATTCGATAAATGCGTCCACTTGTAAAAGAAAGAGACTCGATATAGATGTCATCATTGCTCAGAACAATACTGATCAGATGTCTTTGCCCTTGTGACGTGGTTGGTGTAATCAACTATTTATCAAAGGGTTTTTCCCCTTTGAATACCAAAACAAAAGATGACAAATGACAAATGGCTATCAATATTTTGATTTTTAAGACGTATCTAACACGTAATTGAAAATCAAAGGCCATCCACAAGAGAGTTTTTTTGCGTTTAGTTCCATCAGTTTCGCGAGATTATTTCCAGGATACTACTCTCACAAAGCGGATACGCTTCTCGCCGACCCACAATCAAGTTTCCATATGGTAAACTCTTAGGGAGCAAATATTGTGGGCAAATACTTTATTTAAGTTTTGAGTCGGAAACGAGATCGATATCCTATGGTATAGGGCTAACTCTCAATAGTTTACGTGTTTGTACAGTCCTACTGAGGTGAATCTGATGGTTTGAAATTTCACTATGAGAAGAAGAAGAGCATGAAAAATGTTTAAACTCTCAAGGAACGTAAATATCTGCAATCGCGGTAATCCAGCATTCTAGTATATCAACGTCGCGGTGGAGATCACGTTAAAAATGTAACAGATTACTTATTGACATACCTCCTAACAAAGGAAATGACACAAACATGCTGCATACTCCAAAAAGGGAAAACAACTTGCAAATATGGTCGAAAGATCGTAGCCTTCGAACGCTAACAGCCATGATGGTCTTAACTCTGTTAATCGGTTGTGTAAACTCGGCAATGAGGTTTTACTTGCGTTAGCAGAGCAGATTTATAGACTTCATTACATCATGTTTATTTTGAGACCGTTTCATCATGCTGTTGTCTCGTTTGTAAATAAGCAATGAGGGAATCACCCTATTGCGCTCGCGTTAGGAAGGTTTTTGAAACGATCAACTGTTATCAACTGATTTCCAATATACAGTTTAGGTGACTGTTCGATCTTTGCATAGCTCCTCGTGCTGTTGGCATTGTAAACATCCTATAGGCCAACGACACAAAAAAACTTTAACAATATCATTTCTCTTACTGCTTTCTTTCTTATTGCCTAAATAGTTTTGATACACGAGCAGTTTATAACACATTGCCTCATGAGCGCTTTATGATTTTGAGGCACCACATTGTAATGACTTATTACAACAGTCTTCTAGATTACATCACTAGCGCAACGAAATTCTAACGGGAAGCGCACGTGTCAAATATTACATCCTGAACTGTCCGTTTGAAAAAGGCTTCTTCTCTCATTAAGCTTAAACGCTAAGACGTTTTTTGAAATTTCTTTGATGGGGTTTAACACATTCGAGTAATTTTGCGCCTAACTTTCTCCCATTTTCAGTAATCATACAGTTTATTTTTATACACCCACGATACGAACCGTTAATTCATATTTCAGACACTGGGCAACATGGACGTGGACTCTTTATAATCTGTTTTCAAGTTAATTAAAATGGTCCGAAGCGAAGTGAAATCGTTGCGCCTCGCTGCATCTTTTTTTCGTCGCCAATACATGGTAAGAATACGTTGTCAATAAAAATTCAGCGGTGGTATAAAACGAAATCTTTTGCCAAAACAGGTTCTTTTTCTGAAATTTACATACATGCGCAATAAGTAAAACTCGGAAATCAGGTGAGAGAAGGATAAGGTCCCCTTCTGATAATAAATAAAACCACTTCCAACCCAAAATCTTAAGAGCACTTTGCAAATACGTAGCTCGGTCACTAAGGTGAATTAGAAACGGGAAACTTAAGCCAAAGAATTCAAGACACTCTGAATATACTGACAGAAAGGATTCCTCTGTGAATGATAATAACTAATTTTTGGTCGGGTGAAGTAAAGGTTATGGCTGATAAGATAATGGCCTGTCATCAGCATGAGGAAATATTTCGCTCTCAGGTGACTCAAAATAGGAAAATGGCCTTTAAGTTCATTTAAGACTCTATTAAGGCGCCTTTACAAATCAAAAATAAATATTCCAAAACTATCGAGCTCAAATTTCTCCATTCTTCTCTATCTAGACTAATTCAATCCCAAAATAAAACCAGCAGTTTTAAAAAAAGAGTTGATGTTTGGATGGTTTCGACGCTTAAATTTTAACAAATATTTGCTGCTATAATTTGTTTGTTAATCACTGATATTCGAATGCCCGTGCATGACTTTCGATCACTAGTTGCATTTCACACCTCATATAGCAATTGCAAACTAGCTTTCTTTGCAAACTTTTCAACACAGGGAAGGTAGCACCTGAATCTGGGAAAAAAAATCTGTTTACTTTCCATTCTCCAAAAGAACCTTTTCAGAATTCTGATAACGCAGAAAAAGATAAAATAAACGAACAATGTTATAAGGTTGGTATTCCTGTGAGACATTTAGGTCGGACTATACTGACAAGCTTGTTGCGTATGAAATCATCAATTAGCCACGTGCGAGCGCTTCTAACCATATATATACCATCCCCCACTTGCATTAGGATCACAAGGTTCACTCTTATCATAAAATGTCCTTTTGGCTCCAGTTTAAAACGAGCAACGATCGTTAATGGTCACGTTATTTAGAGGAACGTTTCATCAAACTTCTTTCCAGAAGCAGTTCCCCTTATTTACAGTTACGACACCGGCTAAGTCAGCTGAGTTCGGCTTAACTTCTTAGTGATCAAATGAATTCCGAAATGACAAAGAAAATCTCAAAACCTACCACAACAAAAGACAAAGAATGCTTGAAGTATGAATGCTTTCTGTGATAGCATTTGGCGGAATCTGTGCATCTTCTGCTGAGATTTGTGGTACTCCTTTCAACGCTAGGAATAAGTCGTTTGTAAGCTTCAAATGGCGTGAAACAGTTATTCATGAAAAAAATCTTTGGACTTAGAGATGTGAGGGTTTTTTCCCTAATCTAAGTCTTTCACTTTCGACTGCGGGATTTTTAACTATTCCATGACACTCTAGTCGACTATGAGTAACTTTATTTTCTTCAGTGTCAACTGACCTCAGAAAATTGCGGTCACACTCAGTGAAAATCAATAGCTAGAATACATTTGGACCTTGGGTAAGAGGGCCATGGATTCTGTCATTCTTTGTTCGTCGAATAGGAGCTTTTTTTTCGTAAATTGGGACCACTGATTTTGTTTCATAATAATTTCATTGTCTCGAAGATGCTCCGTCCTCAGTAAAGATCGCACGGGCTAAAATGTTTACTCTAAAAGCGAAATTGAACGTTTCTTAATTAAAGCTTTCATTGCAGCCTTTTCTGCCTCTCTTTCAGTTTCATTAGTCAAAATATTTATGCTTTGTTGTTCGAATAAACTAATACCGAGACAAAATGAATGTTTTCAAATTGCGCTTGGATTGCAGGCTTTCGGTATCTCTTGCTTTTACGAGTCATAATAAACATGCTTTGTTGTTTGAATAAACTATAATTGCTTGATAATAGCTATAACTATTTGGAAGTAATAAGCACCACTTAACTTGTTTGCCAACATTACTTCTGCGCAGAACAGGATTCTTCCCATCTAATTGAAGGGATTTTCCGCAGGAAATTGTTTACCGCCGAAAACAGGACCGTATCAAATCACGATGTATTTTGGTATCAATATTGCATCAGCCCTAGAATATTATCACGTAGTTATCTCACGATCATACTGTGGTGAACAGAGCGAAACGACCCTTGGTTGTATGTAGTGTATTGCGTTACATACCGTTAATACTGTAAGGAAACTTCCTATTACTCATTCGTGTCGTAAATCTACTTCCCTAAGTAAAAGCAAAATAACTAATGATCGCAATGGCTAAAATGTTTACTCTAAAAGCGAAATTGAACGTCTCTCAATTAAAGCTTTCATTGCAGCCTTTTCGACTTCTCTTTCAGTTTCATTACTTACAATACTTATGGTTTGTTGTTCGAATAAACCAATAGTGAGAGACGATAATTTTTTTCAAATAGCGCTTGAACTGCAGGCTTTCGGTATCTCTTGGTTTTACGAGTCACAATAAACATGCTTTGTTGTTTGAATAATCTATCATTGCTTGATAATGGCTGTAACTATTTGGAAACAATAAGCACCACTTAACTTGTTTGCCAACATTACTTCTGCGCAGAACAGGATTATTCCTATCCAATTGAAGGAGTTTTCCGCAGGAAATGGTTTACCTCAAAAGACGAGACCATACCAAATCGCGATGTATTTTGGTATTACAATATTGCATCAGCCCTAGAATATTATCACGTAGTTATCTCACGGTCATACTGTGCCGATCAGAACCAAACGACCCTTGTTTGTGTTCCATCTATCTCTTATATATTTTCAGTCATTGAGGCATTTCATAGCTGAACAAGGAATATCTTGAGCGAATTGTTTGGAATCTCTGTCTCAAGTTTTGGCCTGTCTAAAAAGAGCATCTTCGGAAAATGGGCCCCTTCTTGGTGTAGAAGACACACAACATCAGCCTCGGTAACCTATTGTTTCCATTTGTTTTCCTCGGTCTTTTGTCTCTTTGTTCTCTATTGTTTTACGTCAACGATGTTTTCTACATCAAGTAACAGCTGCAAAATGTTACGTATATTTGGACAAGATTGAAAAGGACATATTGGCCATGCAAACTGGTTTTGCTAGCGCGTCTTAGATAACTCAAGTATCGAACAGATTGTGCTGGATATTTTTAAAAACTGATCTCAGTTGAACGCATTTAAACTTGCAGCCACGCAAACGATTACTTGACAAGGATATGCTATGCTAAAAAATGATGACTTTATTCTAAGTTTTGTTACATTACGTTGACTTTGATGTTGGTCGCTTGAAGTAAAGAAATATATCACAATACTTGACTATTGATAAACAAGAACACTTTACTGCTAAATATACTCTACTAAAATCTATACAGAGAGGCTCATGCTTTGAACAGAAAATAATAATGCTCAACAAAATTTATTTACTTGGCTTGCCACAAGTCAGAAATGGCTCGTGAGCGAAGAAGCTGCACAAGATTGTGACACGAAACAACATGAAATACTCATTAGGACAGTAGGTCCATCTTATTAGAGCATCTTGATCAACACAAGAACCCCGTTGTCCTGATGATGGAGAGGCTCCTTCATGGACCCTTTGATATGTTGTGGGTATTCGTTAACCACATCCTGTGTCTCAGTTGAGCAGAACCTTAGATCAGATATGTCCAAAGGTCGACTGAGTCTTAAACAATCTGCTATCTAGGAAAAATAAAAGTTGCCATTATCAAGCACAGAAATAAGAGCCCTCTTTTCACTTCTATGGTTTTTGGCGTGACGTTATTCGAGATGGTAGATGGCTGTTTTGTCCTTTTGCTTTCATTTTCTTGTAAATGCCTTCTTGTGATTTCGTCTGGGCTTCTGGTTGGTTTACCTGTGGCAGAAAAATGTTTCGTTACAAAATAAATCTTCTCATTTGCAGCATATTTTGCTATTATTCGATATTTCAGGGTCTAACAGTTATTTGAATTGAGGAAAGTATTCAATCATCGCCCAGTTTCATCATCACAGCACAACCAAACAACATATCACATTTCCTATCAAGTTACTAGGGTAATTTCCCTTGCGAAGTGTGGCCTCCGTCCGAGAGTCAGATGAGTCGAAACAGTGCGGTAAATTCACCTTTCAAATGTATTATCCAAAATTAAAACTGCCAACATCAATCACAGAAATGAAAAATTTGTTGTCCCCTTTATGATACCTGGCCTGACGTTATGTGCATTTTCTTTGCTTTCAGTTTCTCCTGAAGACTTTTCTGGAGTTCCGGTTGGTGTGCCTGTGGCAGAAAAATGTTAAATTAGATTCATCAAGCTCTTCATCAGCAATGTGTCGCCATATATGACACAATGGTCGTATACTTTCCCGTTATTCAATATTTCAGTTTTTTTTTTTCAGTTATTGGAATTCCTAAAACTACCTCAATATCGCCCAGCCTTTATCATTACAGCGTTTAATTACGAGCAACAGAACGCATTTCCTATCAAAGTGGAGTCTATAGCGAAATAAAGGGAAGACACGAAAATTAAAATCAAGCCCTTGCTGTTGGATTTGTTTACAAGAAATTACAACCTATGTTATAGAACTTTTTTGCAGAGTCGTGACAAGTCAACATTATCACAAATGAACGAAATCAAGAAGCTGTCTTACCAGGACAAACCACAGGATCGATTTTGAAAATACATTTTTCGGGCGTTTGTTTTCGGGGATCGTTGTGTTCAAAATAGAACATAAAATCTAGCTCAGCGTCTTCCATCTTGACGGTTCGCATGTTTACTGTTTTATATCCCGGTTCCAATCTGTCCTTGTACTCTCTACACCCGTCCATACAGGTGCAGTTCCCTTTTTCATTGCAGAAAGTGATATCTTTAGATCCATCAGCTTTTTTCAAGAACGCTCCCAAGCCATGTGGAGTTTGAAGAAATTGTTGAAAACTCGAACAAGATAAGTTAGCCCTGTGACCAATGCAACTGCGAACGCCTGAACATCAATAAAAATACGTAAATATTTAGTAAAATGATGCAGATGATGTCAGTTATTAATTAGCGTGTAAACTGAATAAAGTTATATTGTAGCTAAGTTTCTTATTTTAAGGATATCATAAACTTCCCGAAATAGAAAATATCTTCTTGGTGTTACAGTTCTACCTGTTCTCGCAGTATATCCGTTGGCGCCTCATAGAACCGATAAAGAGATTCTTTACAACTCCCCTCCCCTCCCCCCTCCCCCTCCCCCTTCCCTCCACACATTCACACAACACACACTCGAAGAAGAAAGGGTGGGCGTCAGCAATGGAAGATATAGTTCCAAGAAAATAGGGGAAGTCTTAAGGGATGGGAGGGCAGAAAGTAAAAATAAAAGGGTTGGCGGCCTCTTCAAATTACCTGCTTCAAGATTACATCATCGTTTCTCGACTGAGGATAATTCAACTTACATTCGACAGCTGTGAAGTCCTTGGTATGAAACTCAGTGACCTGATATTCAGGTGCGGTGTGTACATCGCATGAAAAACGCAAAGAATCATCTAAGTTCAGCATCCGAAAGGTCATTCTCGTGGCGTTTTTCTCTAAGACTTGAACTCTTCCATACAGTTTATTTTTCTGCACAATACATCTTTCTTTGCGGCAATAAATTTCTGATGCTTTTTCATCGCTTGGATTCTTCAGGTCGTTTATCTTGTATGATGTTCCTCTGTTAAATTCTTCTGGAACCCTTTTTGCAGCGTCACACTCAAATGTTTCGGTTTTTTCGGGACAGGTATATTTCTTTCCCTCTAGAGTAGTGCTGCTGCCTGCTAAGATAAACAGATTGACAATCACGATGAGAAATTATTTGTGTGATTTAACGAAGCACCATGACGAACTCCATGAGTGATTAAGGCAGAATTTCTCCTTACAATATCAAAACAATACCAAGTAGACAGTTGTTGAGAATGAATCGACCAAACGTTTGAAAAATGGATTCTTCGTCACGCATTTCGCATGTATTAAGAATTTTGCTTTTGCCAATTTTATTTCCAGCTCGTGTAATCATTTTTCCCCTCAACAGTTTACGTGACTTTTTGGTTTCAGCATTCTCATCTCCAGGGAGTTTATATCCTTCAGTATATAACGCTTGTAGAAGCGTTCTCATCGCCTAATGAAACTTCTACTTAATTTAAGTAACGCTAGAAATTGACATCAAAACACTGCCCTGTGAAAAATCAGTGAACAGGCACTGAGGCCCTCACACACAACAGACGCCATATGGTTAAGCGACAGATAAACATAACCTCTTTGCCATTGCCAGCGTATTATTGGTTTTCATGAGACGTCACGCACCTATCAAATTAAACTCTTAATTTAAGGTATTCATCCATATAAACAAACAAATGTTGGAGGCTTTTTCAAGTCTTTGAAAGGCTTGATGACTGTAAAAATTTCTCGACTCATCGGCTCTTCCGTCGAAATTAACCTCAAGATATTCCTAACGTTTCATTCAAGATCTTCACTGATCGCGGGGCTCAGAAATTCACGAATCACGAAGAACAAGTTTTTCTGCAACAGTCGAATAGAAGCAAACCTCGAATATTCCCAAAATCAAGCAAGGCAACCCTGTCAACCGCCGTTTACTCCGTCGCAATGAGCGGTTTGGCTGGCTACTTTAACTTTACAATAGAAAGGACGGTCACACTCTAACACAAGCGTATCAAAACACATACCACTAAAAACGCTCAGCAGTGCGACAAGAAGGAATAAACTTTGAAATGCTCTACGAATTCCATTCGCCATATCTATCATCGATCAATAAGTGCTCCAACTTCCAGTTATAACTCCTGTATCCCTGGTCTGTACTGCTACACTTAACCGATATGTTTTGATTTTAAGGGGGTTTTTCCCTTCGAGCATGATTACGTAAACTACTATTTCTGATGCTATATAAAAGTGTTACGTCGTCAATAGCGATGTCACCCTTTGTTCATTTTTGACAATATCTTTTGTTTGGTATAGAGAGTGCTTTCCACTCATTTATCAGAAGACAGCTGTAATGTAAATTGATGCACTCTGTGTTTGTTCTGAGCAATTATTGCTTACCGAACAATCATTCGATTTTTGATCCTTATTTAAAGTGCCTATGACACGAAAGTTTGTTTTGGGTAAATATTTAGAATCCGTGTACCTTAGTAATCCGTTTACCTTAGTGCCCACCGATTTTCAATTGCATATGAAAATGAAACACAAATTTTATTTTCGCTTTTCTTTGCTGCAAAACAACGAAATTGGACTACCATTTCCGTTTTGCATTTTTTCTCCGCCGGGAAGGAAACGGAATTACGCTCTCCGTTTTTCATTTTTGTAACTTGAAAAAACGGATTTTAATTTTCTTTTTCGTTTTTCGTTCTTCGTTTTCGTGAATTTGGAAAACGGATTACAAATCGTTTTTCGTTTTCGGCCAATGGCAGTAAAACTGACATTCACAATCCGTGTACAGTCCGTATACCTTGGTGCCAACCAATTTTCAATTGTCAGGAGCTCATCACTTGGAGCCTTCAACTGCCCTGTATTTTTGTTACGGCGTTTTCACAGACAAGTCTGTTTTTAGTTTGAATTTACCGCGAACTAAGGGTGCGTTCCTTTGGGAGGATCTGGATTAGGATTTGTGATCCAAGATCACACAGATCACGGCGCATGAAAGGAACGGAATTTTAGACGAGCTCTCAGAGAATTCCAAAAATTGCGCTATTTTAAGACTTGTGTATGCACGTGGGTTATTGAGCTCTTCCCTGAATGGCTCGTCTAACTGCACGGTTTTTTAGAGTGCACAATTTTTCTAATTAGCAATAATCATTAGCAGCACATTTTTTCATAGTAAACTCAAACGATGGACAGAAGTAAGTATTGATTATGATATGGATACTTGGGAACCCTGAATGCCTGCGATCGATTTAACATTACAAAGATTGTTACTAATTTGAAATTGAGCACCGCTGGGCAAAATGATTAATTGACAGGAAAGATTGTTCTGATTTGAAATTGAACGCGTTGGATCAGTGATCCAATGATCTGTCTTTAGATCACGCAGATCAGTGATCCGATGAATCCTTGTCCAGAGTGTATTTGATAGATCGCAGATCTGAAAATGGATTTGCTCGAAAGGAACGCCACAGATCAGAAGTCCTGATCCGGATTTTCCCAAAGGAACGCACCCTAGGACTCTCCACGAGGGCACATCGACCAATCAAGCCTGGTTAGTTTCTAACTTTACTCACTAATATATCGAAAGAAAAACAGCAGAGAGATGTCGTGTGAAAAAGGCGTCCCAAGCTCACGTCTCGATAAAAAGCAAACGATTAGTTCATGAAAGCGTCACATGTTGTGTGACTCGGTGTTAACTTACGGGAGGAACCGTTAAGAATTTGAACATGTTCTAAGGAATAGCATGGCGAACGAAATATGGTCGATTTAAAACGATAAATATTTCGAAATATGAACATTTTACACCTTAAATCAATAGAATCTAGTCACACCTTTTGTGTCCATTGTGGTTTCCGGCGTTCTCTGCCGTTTTAAGGTTGCTTTGCCGTCTCTGTTATTCCGGTTATACATCGGTCAAAATAGAGGTGCGCAGCATTGACTTCGTCTTATAACAGGAATAACAGTGAGCTTGAGACGCTTGCGGTGTGAATATTTTGAAAAAACCTCGGGAAGCAGTAGTTCTGAGGAAAGTTCTAGTGAAGATGAACCTGACTCTTGACTGTTCAATGATCAAAGCAACAATAGGCACCGTGAATTTTGCTGCATGCGGCAATTATCGACCGCACTTCACAAAAATAACCAAGATTTGACAAGATCGAAGCCCAATTCGAAAGAGTAGCATTATCTTGCGTTCTAGAAAAACTCTCTTAATTTTGTTGCACCCGCTTCTGTTCAATCCTGCGTCGCAAAATTTCCTTTACGGACTGTGTGGATAAAGATTCTTAAGATGAAGACAACTCGCACGCAGCTTACTGACGCAATTTATTGTTTCCGCGCTCTCCATCATCGCTGGCATTTCGCCTCTTCATCGTCTTGAATTTGGATTCTTTTCATGACATTTTCTTTAGGGGGGCCAGAATCAGAAGACGGAAGACCTTTGATACACGCGAAAATAAAAAAAAATAAATACAAATAAAAATACAACGATGATCCGCACTCCTGCGAATTCAGTTCGCAAGTGAGAAAAATCTGCAAAGGATACTGGGATATATAAGGAAAGGAAGGATTGGAATACTGGAATACAGCAAAAGAAAGACGGAATTTGCGTAGTTTAGATATGAAGACGTCCCCGCATAGGGCCGCCATTTTTTTTTTCTTCGCGTTTCATGGATCGTATTACCCAAGTGAGCTCGAGTAGCCTATTTTCCGCGAAAAGATAGTCTAAAAATAAATCGTTCCGTGAAAACGCCGTGACATAGGCCCAGTGTGGGAGTTGAACGCTCCAAGTAATGGGCTCCTGCAATTGTATAGGAAAACGAAACTCAAATTTCATTTTCGTTTTTCTTTGCAGTAAAAAAACAGAGTTGGACTTCCATTTTCGTTTCTCTTTTTTTCCCGCCGGGAAGGAAACGGAATTCGAATTCACTTATTACACCGATTCCTCAAGTGCTTTTATTTTGTCTTAAAAGTGTCTCGTGGACTGGTAACGAATTAGTGGGTGATGACGTAGAAAACTGTTGACTCTTACAAATCTCTCACATTCTTTTAATTTTGTATCAATCAGCGTTGAAATACTCTTGAAATTATGACCGATAGCGATGTATAGCTACCTTCAGCAAGTTCTACCGAGAGTTGTGATATATCGAACTCAGGTAGCAAAGAATAAATTGGAAGTTGCGAGCACGGTTCAGCCCTACGAAGGAGAACCGCGTGCATCAAACGAAGATTTCGACGAAGACTTCGACGAAGACTGACAAAGGCGGTTTCTTGCCTGCGGTTTTCAGGTCAAGAAAAGAACAAAAAAATCCCTTTACTGAATATTTAGTTTGTTGCGTTTGTGTTTTGTTTCTATGGTGAAATCTATGTTAAGAATGGGTAGTGTGTTCGTTTCCGTTGCCATACCATTTCATTCTTTCGCACTAAGTGCGGCGAAGGTTCCCCTTGCTCGGTGCTCTAGAGTTTCGTTGCTGTCGAGTAATTCCCATAGTAAACCAAAAGCGAACTTTTGACGAAAAAATCAGTTGTATCACGAGGCACGATGATTTTTCGCCGAGAAGTCATCGAGCAGTTTCACTGCAAGTTGCTCTTTTCCCCGGAGAGTGCAAAGGCAGAGGCTATCGTTGTCGAGCCGGTCAAACGGAAAACGAGTGAATTCATAGTAATCTGATTCAAGTTAATCTCAAAGAGGGATTTTAACACAGAAAAAATTCTTCAGTTTAAGTGCAGCGTTGCCATATGACCCATTTCGCCCAATGGGTAAATGAATATTTCAAATGCATCGACTTTCACACGGCACTTGAATTCGCTATCATCTAATTCAATAAAACTTGTGTTTCTTTACTTTTTTAATTGCGGTGCTGTTATCACAATGACATTGTTACTGTTGCTACTTTTACTTTCTTAAGAGCGGGGAGAATTGATGGCTCGCGAGATGGATTTTCGGAAACCTAGGTTAGGAGAATACACGGCCGCTTCAAGCTTGTGTTTATGCCAGCATCCGCCAGAGGTTTCGCACTGTTCACGCAACAGGATATCGGTCAGCTCAGGAAAGGGCTTGAACTTTATTACAAATGATGTAGTTCTGTTATTAAAATACGATGAAAACTACAACTGGTTCGATTTTAATGCGATTAGACAAGCGCAAATGTAGTCATGTGGAAAGACAAGGGGTATGAGTACATCTCAAGCGCATGAAATAAACAACAATAAGGAGCTCACCATTCTTTGCTTGCGAAATGTCAGCTGAAAAGAATGTCGAACAATCACGCGCGCTTTATGGGGACACTTTTTGGCCGCCAAATGGTACTTTCAATGCACAAAAAAAGTGGAAAAGGAGAACTCGCCGGGCGCTAAGGTCGATTATTTCTAATTTTAAATACCGCTATCAACCAGAAAATACGAAAAAAAATTCGTGTCGTAGGCACTTTAAAGAAAAAAAAATGCTTTTTCTATCAAATTTCACGAAAAAATATTTTGAAATGATTTCTTTGCACGCTCCCTCTACTTCTCATTATGCCCCAGAAAATTACATTTATTTACGAACTACAATGTAATTAATGTCTCACAGGTGAAAGAATAACAATAAAAGTGCTTAAGATAATTATCAAATCAAAGATCCAGTTATCGTGTTTGCACTGCAAATAAATAGACTCCGCCTTTCTGCAGTTATCTTTAGAGGTAAAGTATTTAATAAATCACTATGAAGTATTCTTTTGTTTAGTCTGAGGCAATTTTTAGTTCAGGTTCAGTTCATTCCTTCTTCCTCAAAAAATGTGCTGTTGCAGAACGTCGTGTCGTTCCTGACTCGATTAAGTGCACTGATTGCTTTATAGATTTGCATTTTAAATCATCACGTCGTGTTTATCTCATTTCTCAAGGAAATCTGATCATTGCCTTGATAGATTTACTTTTTTGGGCCGTGCGCTCTTCAACAGGGAAAATTAAACTACGCGCGGCTCCATATCCTGCCGCCTTGACAGGCTCGCGTTTTCGCTCGCTTGTCTCGTTGGCAATAAATATCCCCAAAACTATCGAGCTCAAATTTCTACCTTCTTCTCTATTAGACTAATTCCACAATAAAACCAGCAGTTTTTAAAAAAGAATTAACGTTTGGATAGTTTCGACGCATACATTTTAACAAATATTTACTGCTATAATTTGTTTGTTGATCACCTTTTTCTCTAATACCCGTGACTTTCGATCACTAGTTGCATTTCATACCTCGTATAGTAACTGCAAACTAACTTTCCTTACAAACTTTTCAATACAGGGAAGATAGCAACTGAGTTCTGGAAAAAAAATCTATTCACTTTTCCATTCTCTAAAGGAACCTTCCCGTAGAGAAAGATAATGTAGACGAACAATGTCACGAGGTTGGTATTCCTATGAGACATTTGTAGGTCACTTAGGTCAGACTAAACAAGTTTGTTGCGTATGAATTCATCAATTAGCCAAGGGCGAGCGCGTCTAACTTTATATCCTTCCTCACTTATATTCGGATGACAAGGTTGACTCTTATCATGACATGTTCTTTCGGCTTAAGTTTAAAACGAGCAACGATCGCTAATGGTCACGTTATTTAGAGGGGTGTTTCAGCAGACTTCTTTCCAGAAGCGGTTCCCTTTATACACAGTGACGACACAGGCTAAGTCAGCTGAGTTTGGCTTAACTTCTTGGTGATCAAATGAATTCCAAACTGACAAAGAAAATCTCAAAACCTACCACAAGAAAAGACGAAGAATGCTTGAAGTATGAATGCCCTCTGTGATAGTATAAGACGGAATCTGTGCATCTTCTACTTGTGGTACTCCTTTCAACGCTAGGAATAATTCGATTGTAGCTTGAATACAATCGAAACAGGAAAAAGCTTGGGACTTTAAAAGGGCTTTTTCCCTAATTAATTCTCTTTCACTTTGACGGCGTGATTTCGAACTACATGTATTCCGTAACATTCTAGTCGACTTAAAGTAACCAGTTTTTCTTTTTGAGGCCAAACTGAAAATCAATAGCTAGAATACATTTGAATTTAAGAGAAGAGGGCCATGGATTCTTCCATTTTTTCTTCGCCGAAAAGGGCCTTTCGACCTTTGTCAATAGAGGGTACAGATTTTGTTTCATAATAATTTCATCGTCTCGAAGATGCCCGGTCCTAGCTAAAGATCGCAATGGCTAGAACGTCAGTGAAGTTTACTATCTAGTTAAAGGGATTTTCCGCAAAAAATGGGTTACCGCAAAAAATTGCGATGTATTTTGATATTACAATATTGCATCAGCTCTTGAATATTATCACGTAGCCGATCTCACGGTCATATTATGGCAAACAGAGCGAAACGACCCTTGTTTGCGTTCCATCCATCTCTTTCATATTTTCAGTCATTCAAGCATGCATTCAAATCTGAACAAGGAATATCTTAAGAGCTAATGTCAGCATGCATCAAACAAACAGCGGCAAGTCACCCAAATTTGTTTTCCCTCCTACTTTTATATTTTGTAGCCCAATATGTTCTAATAACTGTGCTGTAGTTTTTTTGTAAAATATATTTTAGTTTTCAAGAAATAATTTTTTTCGATCGACCGCTCCAATATGCAAATTTTCACCGTGAATATTACCCGAGTTGTGTGACCTCATGTATCGAATGTACTAGACCTACGGTATTTCTGTGAACATGATCCTTTGTTTTATCATCTAAACTTAATCCCCTGTCGTTATTGAAGCTGCCAAGGAAATATTTATTTTTTGGTGAATATTTTTGTCCGACATACTTTTCCTATGTCGAAAAGTAGCATCAAAACAAAGACAGTTTTAACAATGACCGATATGACACAATCTACTGAGCTTCAAGCTTCCAAAAGACCAAAGGATGGTTATAAAGTTACTGTAAAAATTTCCTTGTGTATTTTTGTTGTTCTATTTTGAGACGAACTCAAAGTCCGGCAAAATTTACTTGATAGCGACTATGAAATGTACATGATGCGCCTACTTGTCGCCACCGTTAACTGGCATAAATCACTACAACTTGTTCAAAAATCTAACAAAACACTCTTATCTTGTTTATTTATGATTTTATTAGCTGTTTCGATGATCACGTTAATTATGCTCTACCACATTCTAGCCAGATTAGAGTTCCAGTTTATATATCTTCTCTAACTTATTATATCAGTTGCGTGACAAGCGTGACACAGAAATTCAAAGATAAATCAACCTCCGAAATACCAAGATGGGTTTTTTTCCTCTTTGCATGACATCTAGAAAAACATTTCAGGAATTACTGCATTCAGAAAACTAAAATGTCCAGATCCATCAATGATTCCTTTGCCGGCTGAAGTCAAAGTATGGTTACAGTGGTCAATTTGATTGACAAGCTACATACTGATTTAGCTAACTGATCTGTTTTATAAGCGTCTCATCTTACATGCTAACATGGAGATTTGCTATTTAGTTATATCGTTCGCTGGTGGAACTTGTGGGTTTAGTTATCGAGAAGACCAAGTCGTTCCCTTGCGTGATTGTTAAAAAGACATTTCATGTCACTTGTGGAGTTGCAAGTTTTCAGATCCAGAAAATGAAGTTGATCTTGTTTTGTCGCGTGCCGGCATCTTCGAGACGCCAAAAGATATCGATGATTTTACAAATTGCCCCACTCACAGATCAAATCTCGGCGTTGGGTGGAATCGTAGTTCCAATAGCAGATGTAGGGTGCCAAAAGAAATGTCCGGCCATGGTAAAGGTAGGGTTTAGTCGATTCCAAAAGCTGATAGGGGAATTAGCAAGCGTGTATCACGGATAGTGCTCAAGATGTCTGGAAAATTCATACAATCTGGCTTCGGTAAGTAGGCTACTTACCACCGTGAGCAAAATTACGCTTGACGTCAGAGTTAAGTCTCGATTGGGAATTGGTCAATAGGCTACCAAAAATTCAGACAGAGGCGGAGTTTTCTGAAGTAATGTCTGAACACTTTGTTGGCTTTCCGCCGTATGGGGGACGCGTAATTATGCACACGGTGCTAAAGGGCCCTTCCGCAGTAGCGACTAGACGCTCACAAAACATGTTTCTCCTCGCCAAAATCACATCAGAATTTGTCCTTACTAAATGTCAAGTGTGCTGCACGTATTAGCACCCCCAGGGGACCCCTTTACATAGGAGGGCGAAGGTGCGCGCCTGGAATTTCGAAAACGATCGCTATAAAATTATAAAAGGTGCTTAAGTCTTATCCGTGTGGGGGTGGCAACAATTAGCCTGTAAAAACAAGTCTTTATGTCCTTTTCTGTCATTTTCAATGCTTCCCTCGCTCCTACAGAGGATTCACACAAACATGAGAGCCGTGCCGCGTTTACATTGTACAGGTAGAAAAGGTCGTCCAGAATGAGTCTTTCGTTCTGTAATGAAAACCCCAATAAACTCACTCAGAAATGACTCATTTCGAATAAATTTTACGCTGGTTATTATGTGGAAATGGGCCCCCTATATTTATTTGGAGGTGTCTTCTGCGTAGAAGACACAGAACATCAGTCTCCGTAACCAATTTTTCCATTGTTTCCTCGTTCTTTTGTCTTTTTGTTCTCTATTGTTTTACATCAACTAAATCAAGTAAGAGCCGCAAAATGTCACGTATATCTGGACAAAATTAAAAAGGATATATTAGCCGTGCAAACGCAGAACTGGTTTTGTTAGTGCGTCTTAGATAACTCAACCATCCAACAAATTGTGCTAGATGTTTTTAAAAACTGATCTCAGTTGAACGCATTTAAAGTTGTAACGGCCACGCAAACGGTTACTGGTACATGTAGCCGACGGAACCTAATTAAGTCGCAAACAGTTCACGGGGCTTCTCTGCATAAATGAATGTGTCTTACTTAAGCTTGAATGTCCCAAAGCTGCTATAATATGGTGCTGGCAAGGATATGCTATTACATTACGTTGACTTTGATGTTGATCGCTTAAAGTAAAGAAAAATATCACAACAATTGATTAGTGGTAGACAAGAACAGTTTACTGCTAAATATACTATACTAAAATCTATACAGGGAAGCTCATGCTTTGAACAGAAAATAACAAAATACACAAAATTTATTAACTTGGCTTCGGTAGTTAGATAACGGCGTAATATGTGACTAACACAGTCTATAGACTGTAAGATTTTACGCCACTATGTGCGTCGGTGTATATATATGTAAGATTTTAAGCAGTTAACTAACGGCGTAAAATCTTACAGTATATAATTTACCGACTGGAAGAAATTACGCCGTTAGTTACTGGCGTAAAATCTTACTGTATATAATATACCGACTGGAAGAAATTACGCCGCCGTTATATATATTCCCAAGTTGGCTTGCTACAAGTCAGTAATGGTTCAAGAGCGAAGAAACTGCACAAGATAATGACACGAAACAACATGAAATACTCATTAGGACAGTAGTTCCATCTTATTAGAGCATCTTGGTCAACACAAGAACCCCATTGTCCTAATGACGTAGGGGCTCCTTCGTGGACCCTTTGATCTGTTGTGAGTATTCGTTAACCACATCCTGTGTCTCAGTTCAATGGAACCTTAGATAGGATATATATAACGGTAGACTGAGTCGAAATCAATCTGGTTCATTCATTCTCCTAACCTACTATCCAGGAAAAGTAAAAATTGCCAATATCAAGCACAGAAATAAAAGCCCTCTTTTCACTTCTAACGTTCCTGGCGTGACATTATGCGAGATGGTAGACGGGTGCTTTGTCCTGTTGCTTTCGTTTTCTTGTAAAGGCCTTCCTGTGATTACTTCTAGGGTTCTGGTTGGTTTACCTGTGACAGAAAAATGTTTCAATAACAAAATCAATCTTCTCATTTGCAGCATATTTGCTATTTTTCGATATTTCAGTGTTTAACATTTATTGGAATTGAGGAAAGTATTCAATCATCGCTCAGTTTCATCATCACAGCACAACCAAACAACACATCACATTTCATATCAAGTCACAGGGGTAATATCCGTCGCGAAGTGTGGAAAAACGGAACTACCTCAATATCGCCCAGCCTTTATCATTACAGCGTTTAATTACGAGCAACAGAACGCATTTCCTATCAAGTTTAATACTGGAGTATAAATATCTATAGCGAAATAAAGGAAAGACACGAAAATTAAAATCAAGCCCTTGCTGTTGGATTTTTTTACAAGAAATTACAACCTATGTTATAGAAAGTTTTTGCAAAGTCGTGACAAGTCAACATTATCACAAATGAACGAAATCAAGAAGCTGTCTTACCTGGACAAACCACAGGATCGATTTTGAAAACACATTCTCTGAGCTTTTGTTTTCGTGGATCGTCGTGTTCAAAATAGAACATAAAATCTAGCTCAGCGTCTTCCATCTTGACGGTTCGCATGTTTACTGATTTATATCCCGGTTCCAATCTGCCCTTGTACTCTCTACACCCGTCCATACAGGTGCAGTTCCCTTTTTCATTGCAGAAAGTGATATCTTCAGATCCATCAGCTTTTTTCAAGAACGCTCCCAAGCCACGTGGAGTTTGAAGAAATTGTTGAAAGCTCGAACAAGATAAGTCAACTCTGTGGCCAATGCAACTGCGAACGCCTGAACATCAATAAAAATACATAAATATTTAGTAAAATGATGCAGATGACGTCAGGAGTTTGTAAACTGAATAAAGTTATATTGTAGCTAAGTTTCTTATTTTAGAAAGGATCGACGTCAGCAATGGAAGATATAGTTTCGAAAAAATAGGGGAAGTCTTAAGGGAGGGAGGGCAGAAAGTAAAAAAAAAAAGGTTTGGCAGCCTCTTCAAATTCTTTACTTCTAGATTAGATCATCGTTTGATCATTCAACTTACATTCGACAGTTGTGAAGTCCTTGGTATGAAACTCAGTGACCTGATATTCAGGTGCGGTGTGTACATCGCATGAAAAACGCAAAGAATCATTCAAGTTCATCATCTGAAAGGTCATTCTCGTGGCGTTTTTCTCCAAAATTTGAACTCTTCCATAGAGTTTATTTTTCTTCACAGAACATATATTTTTTCTGCAATAAATTTCTGATTCTTTTTCATCGCTTGGACTCTTCAGGTCGTTTATCTTGTATGATGTTCCTCTGTTAAATTCTACTGGAACCCTTTTTGCAGCGTCACACTCAAATGTTTCGGTTTTTTTGGGACAGGTAAATTTCTTTCCCTCCAGAGTAGTGCTGCCTGCTAAGATAAACACATTGAAAAATCGAGATGAGAAATTGTGATTTGCCGAAGCACCATGGCCAATGAGAGTGGAATCAACCCTTTTAACTCCCTTGAGTGACCAAGACAACTAGAATTACATCTTACAATATCAAAACAATATCAAGAAGACAGTTGTTGAGAATAAATAGACCCAACGTTTGAATGGATTCTTCGTCACGCAATTCGCATATCTTGAGAAATTTTCCTTTTTTAAATTTTATTTCCAGCTCGTGTAATAATATTCTTCCTTCAACAATTTACGTCCTTTTTCGGTTTCAGCATTCTCATCTCCAGAGAGTTTATATCCTTTGGTGTATAACGCTAGTGGAAGCGCTCTCATCGTCTGATGAAATTTCTTCTTGATTTAAGTAACGCTAGAAATAGATATCCAAACACTGCGAAAAATTAGTTAACGACACTGAGGCCATTATACACAACAGACGCCATACGGTTAAGCGACAGATAAACATGACCTCTTTGTCATTGCCAACTTATAGGTTAAACTCTTAATTTAAGATATGCATCCATATAAACAAACAAGTCTTTGAAAGCTTTGATGACTGTAAAAATTTTTCGACTTATCAGCTCTTTCGTCGAAATTAACCTCAAGATATTCCTAACGCTTCATTCAAGATCTTCACTGATCGCGGGGTTCAGAAATTCACGGATAACGAATAACAAGTTTTTCTGCAACAGTCGAATAGAAGCAAACCTCGAATATTTACAAAATTAAGCAAGGTAACCCTGTCAACAGCCGTTTCAGCAAGGTGTAACCACAAATTACTCCGTCACAATGACTTAACAATAGAAAGGACGGTCACACTCTAACACAAGCGTATCAAAACAAATACCACTGAAAACGCTCAGCAGTGCGCCAAGAAGGAATAAACTCTGACATGCTCTTCAAATTATATTCGCCATATCTGTCATTGATCAATACGTGCTCTAACTTATAATTGTAACGTACGTGGATTTTATCCATGGTCTGTTTGCTACACTCATAATTTGATTTTAAGGGTTTTTCCCTTCGACCATGATTTGCTGTCGGAGAAAGTACGCAAAATTGCGTATTTCTGATGCTATGTAGAGGTGTTGTGTCATCAATACCGATGTCACCCGTTGTTCATTTTTGACAATATCTTTTGTTTGGTCTAGAAAGTGCTTTGCATACATTTATCGGAAGACAGCTTTAATGTGAATCGATGCACTCCGTGTTTGTTCTTAGCAATTATTGCTTATCGAACAACAGAGATATCAATGCTTTTTCTATCAAATTTCACTACCTGATATCTCGAAATTATTTCTTTGCATTAATGAAAATTACATTCATTTATGAACTACAATGTAATTAATGTCTCACAGGTGAAAGAATAACAATAAAAGTGCTTAAGACAATTGTCAAATCAAAGATCCAATTATCATGTTTGCGCTGCAAATAAATAGACTCTGCCTTTCTACAGCTGCCTTAAGAGTTAGAGTATTTAATACATCACTATGAAATATTATTTTGCTTAGTAGGAGGCAATTTTTAGCTCGGGTTCAGTTGATTATTTCTTCCTCAAAAAATGTGCTGTTGCAGTACGATGTGTCGTTCCTGACTCGGTTAAGTGGCCTGATTGCTTAGTAGATTTGCATTTTAAATCATCACGTCGTGTTTATCTCATTTCTCAGGGAAATCTGATCATTGCCTTGATAGAGTTTACTTTTTCGGGCCGTGCGCTCTTCAACGGGAAAAAATTAACTGTATTATAATGAAAGAACATGGACAATGATTGAATGAATGAAGTAAAGAAAAACGGCTTTATGTCAGTGTCAATTGAATATCATTGTGAAGAATTAGACAAGGTATTATAGGATATTATCTAAGCTGATACGCTATCGAAAACTAAATTAACTATTCAGCGGAAAAAAACTTTACAAGTCGATTATCAAAATCAAAAGTGTGTTATATATAACAGAGCGGGATATAATCAGAAATACTTGAAACTGAAACTAAACTACAGATGACATAACAAACATGCACGTGACCGTTTGGGGTTTCATTCAGAAGTTCAGATGGCCGCTAATTAGCCTAACCCAAAATTGACAGGATTCAAAGAGACAAACATATTAGCGAGGTAACTTAGTTTTCATTAAAACCTAGCTCAGCTTTTTAAGTTATTTCCATAAAAAATCCTTATATTTCACCTATATTGTGCACTGTAAACATACAATACAAATTTTTCGGAGGCTCATTGTGCGTATATGCTCGCCTGCTGGTCTAAAATTGTAAATTGGGAAATATATAAAAGTGACAGTGCCGTAAAGGAGTTAAGAGTCAATAAATCCCTCGGGGAGACGATGAAGATAGTCCATCGCCATTTTATTTGTTTAAACGGAAATTATACCAACCTGCTAAGACGAGAAAAGAGTAGAACAAGATCGTCGTTCCTCGTACACGTCTGTAATACTGTTTTATAGAGTTCAAGGAATCCATCAGGACTTTTGTTGCAGTATTTGCCAGTTTTACTGTCCGTTGACCCTCAGATCGATTTGTTTTAGCGGCCGGTATATACACCGCATATGCTGCTTCTATCAGTTGACTGAATCGTTTGGTGAAAAGCTATCCGGTTTAAATATCCTAAGAGTGAATAGTCACGTGGAACTGTCATACAGGATGACCCATGATTGGTCACTAGAATACTGAACGGAAACGAAGAAAATTTAAGCTTGAATGACGTTGCTTACTTTTTGACAGAGTCAGCATAATTTTCATCAGACGTGACAGATATGATAGGAACAATGCAATGTCTGTGATCGTTTCTCAGAAAATTCATCCCCGAATAACTTTTCTACTAGAGGCTCGGGAATAAAGTCGCATGACAACCCCCTTCAATTGAATCGTAGCTCACAAAATTCATCTCTAGGTTATAAATGTGATCTTCATCCATATGCAAATTGGTGTCATTTGAATATAGATAGAAGAAACACATACTGCAGTTTTAATTATATTAATAAAATCATCACGCGTACGTACGCCTAAAAATAAGCTAATTGTTTGTGATATCAGAAAAAAATTGGAACTTCCGTCGCTGGGAGTTACGTCACCGATCAAGGAAATTCGGAAACCATAGAGCCGGTAAAGGAGGGGGGCCTTGGGATTTTCGATTTTGCGGTTTTGGCCATGTTTTAGATCGGTTTTTCGGTTTTTGTGCCAAAAAACTCCGGTTTTTCGGTTTTGGAGTTCATTACGGTTTGCGGATTTTCCGTTTCTTATTAGCATTTGGTTTTCTGTTTTCGCGAAAAATACTAACGGGTTTTCGGTTTTTCCTATTTGACCTATTTGAGTTCCGGTTTCTCTTCGATCTGAGCGGCAATTACGCGCCTCCACAGATCTGGAATAGCCGCTAAACGCAAATTTTATCGTGAGGAATGTGTGACAAACCGATTAAAATATCGCAGAGATCCCTAGGTGAAAGCCTTACCCACCTCCTCCCCCAAGGTGGGGGGGAGGGTACGGCTGAGCACGGAAAATTGCCAGAGTTTCTTTATCAACGCCACCTCGAAGTTGATGACCAAGTTACAGGCCACATGTGACTGATTGATTCAACATTCCAATAGAATCTCCAAACTTTCGGGTCTTAGTTCGCAAATGGAAATGTTAGATTTGGGATTTTCGATGAAACTTTCCAGAGCTACAGCTTTTTGCGACTGCAAAATTGCAATCCTATAGAGGACTTTTGTGCGAATTCCCTTAAGTTAACTAGGCTCCATTACCAGCTGCTGAGTCCGCAGAGACCACGCTCGAGGTCCTAGAGAGAGCAGCTGTTAATTTAAGCAGATACTAGAAGATACCAATGCCAAGTCCATGGCATCCATTAATCCTGTAATGAAATTAGTGTAGTTTACTCTGTATGCTCCACTTGTCACCACTGTATCGGATCGATGGGATATGAAATGTATCGGTTTAGACAGTTTTGCATGCGATTTTCGGTTTTGATCGAATTTTTTTTCGGTTTTGGATTATCTTTTTCTACGGTTTTGCGGTTTCTAATAGGCCCCAATGCCCCCTCGTAAAGGGGGAGAGTTTCTGAAGAAACTGTGGTGCTACGTCGGTGGGAGAGTATCACAGGAAATTTAGTGTTAACAAGTGAATTGAAAACGCAAATTAGCCACCGTAAAGAGTTTAAAGGCTGACGTTTCGAGTGTTAGCCCTTCGTCAGAGTGATTGGAGGAATTGTGGGTTGTGTGTGGGTCTATATATGCAGAAAGTGGAGCTTCGCTATTGGTGGGAATATGGTGACGAGAAAACAAGAATAAACTAGTTGGGAGATCAAAGTCCCTAATCATTCTAAACAGCATATGGCAGTTTGCGGCCTTTCCCTACATCTAGGCAGTTCGGAAAGCCGCAAATCACTTGAACAAAAATTTATCTTTCAAATCGGCACTCTTAATCCCGACGGTATCAACGAGGGCTTTTCATTCAACTAATTTATTCTTGTTTTCTCGTCACCATATTCCCGCCAATAGCGTAGCTCCTTTTACTGCATATAAACCCACACACAACCCACAGTTCCTCCACAGTGCCGGTAGTCCATTCCATCGTAAAATTATCTTACCTGGCGTGGTTAGGCGTGGTTGCTAAGTAAAACGGCGTGGTTTCAAAGCACATGAAAACACTTGAGCAAAAAAACAGTGAACTTTATGACAAGTCATTAGGTAGTTAATTCCCGTTCATTCGGGGTAGGAATTATCCATTTCTTCGTCGTCTTCATGTCTTCGGTGCTAACTCATGAAAGTGAGTTTAATGAAAGCCGAAGATCATTCTCATCTGATGATTCTTCGTCTCTTTGCTCCGTTGATTTGGGACTAGGATTCGGCTTGAAACCGGGCGGTTTGCCACGATGCGAGAACGATTCAATTAGCAACGAATTAGAGGTACTTGACTTGTTTCAGGCTGATACAGAAGATACGACACAGTCCGAAGAAACTCTAGAAAAATACCAGCATCGATCCAAGCCGTTTACATGGAGAACCAGTTTACAGGAGAGTGTAGAGCAGTTAAAAGAAATTAAGGGTGGGTTAAGCCGGATCTCTAAATGGAGTTTGAAAAACTTGCCGAAGAGAAGTTTTTCTCTCAAGCTAAGGAACAGAACAAACAGCGAAAGTGCACCTAATGACGTTGATAAAGGTTGTAAAGGAAAGGCTTGTGGACTAAGGCGGATAAATTCGGCAAGAGGTTTGTTGTTTTGAATTATGATATTTACAATAATACGTACTCTTAAATTGATATTTTTGTTGAAGAGAAATCTATAATTACATTGGCGCTCATTTGCGTATAGAACGTTGTCCCGTAAAGTTAAATCGCCCTCTGAAATTAAAATTTTTATTAAGCTGGATTTCAGAATATTGTCAGTTTCAAAATGTAGGGTTCACTTTGAAAGAATGTTTTTTTCACACGTGTACCGGTCATTGTTTACAGTACATTTTGTTTTGGGTGTGTGATTGTTTCTGTTGGTGTTTCAAAGAGTGAACAATTGTGGAAGGTAATCGATGTGGTCGATCAATCTTACGTGTGTATGATACCATTCAAATGGTAAAATCTTCAGAGCAAAAACTTTCTAAAAATGAATCAGTGCGTAATTGTATTTGTAACAGGTAAATGTTCCGGCTGGTTAGTTGAGGGTAACAGATTCCGTTTTAACTCTTTAACTCTCAAGAGCGACCAAGACAGAATTTCTCCTCGCAGTGTCAATACAATATCAAGCAGAAAAGTGATGAGAATAAGGAAAATGTTAATTAGGGGATTCAGACATTCCAACCCTCCCAATTTGATGCGTTGCCTCCCGCTCTCCTTATTTTTATCAGGTTTCCCCGATTTATCATAAAATCCTGGAGACAAAGAAAAAATTGCTTATATTATATGTATTTTTTGAGATATTTTTGTGGCTTCCCACTGAATGCGTTTATGCCTTGTGGAAAGTAAGTTTACAATTATTCATGATCTTTCACAGAGGCCATTGTAAAAAAATTTCCCTTTTTGATTCTGAAAAGATGGATTAACAACAGCAAAGAAAAGTTCAAAGATATCTGTGATAAGAATAAAGACCATATAGAATACCACAAAAATGATGTCAAAATGCAGGAAATGCCACTGGAGAGAAACTAAATTTGAAAGAGTTCCTGGGGAGGTAATTGCCCCCAGACCCCTCTAGAGGCTCACACCTTTGGTGCTAAAATATACTCCCTATTTTCCCTCAAAAGGGGTTGGAATGTCTGGGGATTGTAAAAAATTAGTGACCCAATATCAAAATTCTCCAACCCCCTTGTGAAATTATATGAATTGTATGACAGACAGTAGGGAGAATTACTAATGAGATCTTGGGAATGAAAGGGTCTGGGGACAGTTTGCTGGTCAGGGTCACTGCAGTTTTCTCATCAAGGTGGTAGTCTTAAATTAATATCTTAAAGAGTCATCCAGACAGCTCTCATCTGTAGTATCATGAGTTTTTGTACAGGTAACAACTTGATTTCGAGTGCAATTTGGTGTTAATAAACATGAGTAAATTTTACAAAGACAGCAGAATTGCACAAGCCTGTAGGGTGAGTGGAATTTGTAGTCTTTGAAAATTTTTACAAGTGCTAATCTACACTAAATTACTCAAGAAATCATGTGGCTACTTGTTAATAATTTACTGGTGCGAAAGGTGAATGACATGTCTGCAGCTGATTCAAAAATGCCTTTAAGTCTGCAGCCACCTGTTTAGTTAGGAAACATACTACAAGATGTATATGTTGTGGTTCAATTTTATCCTTGGATCAAATTTTATTTTCCTTTGTTTCAAACTCATTATTATACATTACAATACCCAAAAGCAAAAGAAAATAAAATTTGAACCTAGGAAAGTTGAACCACAACTTATAAAATAATTCAAATAGTACGCGCACTCTGATTGGCCATAAAACCATTTTACATGAGCGTATGTAAACATGGTTTTCATCCCTCTTTCATTAGTTATTTTATAAGAGAAATGTAAAATGGTTTCCGTGTTTACATAGCCTGATGTAAACACTCGGGAGGTTGGGAGAACACAAGATAAGTGTAGGAAACCACTCCGCTTCACGTCGTGGTTCTCCCAACCTCCCGCGTGTTTACATCAGGCTATGTAAACACGGAAACCATTTTACATTTCTTCAATATACTTCTTCCATTATTAACTACCCAGTAAATGTACATACATTTTTACTATTAATTTGATTTCTGACATAATTTTTTTGTATGGTTTGAAACAGAAAGGAGATCAGTTGCCGAAGATGATGAGTATCGTGCCCTTCAGTGCAAACTTTTGAAAGCCAAACAAGTGAGTGGGTATTGGATAATTTAAGATAAACAATAGCCTCAATTTGGAGCAAAAATATGCTCAGATATCTGTCCGTGGGTATGATCTGTCCTATGAAGTGAACAGTTTTGTGTGAGTGAATCTTATGCAGCAAAATCTCTGGGCTTCAAGGAAGAGATAATGTCTAAGGACATATACATGTATGCTGGCAAATGTTTTTAGCCAAATGGTGACTATTATGTTT